GTGTCTACCAAATTGGGTTGGTTGGGGTGTAATACTAATAATAAGTGTTGCCTTTAATTTAATCAATAAAATAAATTGACTTCATTAATTTTTTTGAACCACCTCTTAAGAAAATCTAAAAAATATGAATGGAATGATAAATCACAAGTACAAACTCATCATATTTTTTGCATTTTAGATAGGATTTATTCAGCAAAATTTAAGGGTGACGTCATCAATTTTTTTAGGAGGGATGAACAAATACATTTTGAACAAAAGTTTACCATGCTTATAATAACTTTAAAATATTCCCAAGATTTCAAAGCATTCGGTTTTGTAATTCCTGATTAAATCGATAAAATAAATTCACGCCTTCATTAATTTTTTTGAGTCACCCTGCATATGCAAATCCAAAAATATGAATGGAATGATAAATCACAAGTACAGACTCATCATATTTTGTACATTGTAGATACGATTTATTCGGAAAACTTTTGAGCTGACCTCATCAGTTTTTTGTAGAAGATAACCAAATATATTTTGACTAAAAATTTATTATGCTCTTTATAACCTTAAAACATCTGCAAGATTTCAAAGCATTCGGTTTTGTAGTTCCTGATTAAATCAATAAAATAAATTTACGCATTCATTAATTTTTTTGAGTCACCCTGTATATGCAAATCGAAAAAATTTGAATGGAATGATAAATCACAAGAAGAGACTCACCATATTTTGTACATTTTAGATAGGATTTTTTCAGCAAAATTTTGTGGTGACATCATAAATTTTTTAGGGGGGATGACCAAATACGTTTTGATCAAAAATTTACCATGCCTATGATAATTTTAAAATGTCTTCAAGATTTCGAAGCATTCGGTTTTGTAGTTCCTGAGTAAATCAGTAAAATAAATTTACGCTTTCATTTATTTTCTTGAATCACCCTGTATATGCAAATCCAAAAAATATGAATGGAGTGATAGATCACAAGTACAGACTGATCATATTTTGTACATTTTAGATATGATTTATTCGGCAAATTTTCGAGCTGACGTCATCAAGTTTTTGGAGGGGATAAGCAAATATATTTTGACTAAACATTTATTATGCCCTTTATAACCTTAAAACATCTGCAAGATGTCAGAGCATTCCGTTTTGTAGTTCCTGATTAAATCAATAAAATATATTTACGCATTCATTAATTTTTTTGAGTCACCCTGTATATGCAAATCCAAAAAATATGAATGGAGTGATAAATTACAAGTACAGACTCATCATATTTTTACAGTTTGGATAGGATTTATTCGGCAAACTTTCGAGCTGACGTCATCAATTTTTTGGAGGGGATAAGCAAATATATTTTGACTAAACATTTATTATGCTCTTTATGACCTTAAAACATCTGCAAGATTTCAGAGCATTCGGTTTTGTAGTTCCTGATTAAATCAATAAAATATATTTACGCATTCATTAATTTTTTTGAGTCACCCTGTATATGCAAATCCAAAAAATATGAATGGAGTGATAGTTCACAAGTACAGACTCATCATATTTTGTACATTTTAGATATGATTTATTCCACAAATTTTTGAGCTGACGTCATCAAGTTTTTGGGGGGGATAAGCAAATATTTTTTGACTAAAGATTTATGATGCTCTTTATAGCCTTAAAACATCTGCAACATTTCAAAGCATTCTGGTTAGCAGATTAAAAATTAAATTTCAAAATGTTGTTTTATAATTTTGATTTTTTTTCCAAAAATCTGGACGTTTCGGGTGAAAAGTCGATTCAGAGTTGTAAACTACATGTGTAGGACTATGTTATTTTATACAATTGAAAACCCATTTACTATGTACAATTTTGAAGTGACGTCATCGCTTTAGTGGTGGGGATGATTCGACAAATTTTGGTTAGCGTTTTACCATCTACATGATATTCTTAATATAAGTACAAAATTTCACAACAATCGGTCGAGTACTTTCGGAGATTATCTGTCTAATAAAAATCCGTGACAACAGACGGACAGACGGACAGACGGACAGACGGACGGACAGACGGACAGACGGACAGACGGACAGACAGACGGAAATGGGAGACCTATTTCTTCGTCTTCTAGGGGTCATGAAAGATCGAGAAAACGTAAAAGTAGAGAGTCGGCCGACGGACTCGATTACAATACTTCCTTTGCTTACGCTCAGGAAGTAAAAATGAAGCAATCATTTTTATAAGTATACATTAAAATATCTCGCACCTGGTAAAGAATTTGCAAAGTCTGCATCACTGTCGAAAGCGCTTGGCAGGCCATCAATCTGTTCTCCTAGAATAACTTTGATTGTAGAATCCACATCGTCAATTTCCATTAAATTTCCACTACCTCCACCAGTTTTAACAATCGTGGCCTTGTTCGTTGCAAACTTTCGTTTGCAACTTTTTTTTAAATTGGCGTATTTGCATTTTAAAATTTGGACCCCTTTAAATTGCCCCCCAACAGTGGAATTGAATTCATCTGCAATGATACGCCAGATATTTGCCTTCTGCTCCCATGTTACCTGGCCATTTTTTTTGCATTCAATTATATTTCTGTTTTTATGAACCAATTGGGTCAAAATCCTTTCCTCTTCTTTCGTAAAGTTAGAACACCGCTTTGTTTTCTCTGTGTTACTCATTTTTGTACAAAATAATCACACCAGAAGAATTTGAATGACATTTATCACAATATACAACAGATTTGTGAAACGTTGCCATAGATATCAAATGTGAATCATAGTTAACTGTTTGTTTTCTAACCAAATTTACAAATTTGTTGGAAAAACGCATTCAAAATTAACTGCTAGTTAACTTGGAGTTAAAGTTAACTAAAAGTTACGAAACCAGAGGTTAACTAAATTTTGGAAAAACCCACCCTTAATGTTCATAGTATTTTTTGAACAACACGGTACTCAAAAGCATGTTTTCAATTTCATGTAAAGAAATAAGCTCCGCCCCCTCGCTTCACGGCGAATAAAAAAAATCATCACAATTAAGATAGGGCGGATGGGTGGGCCTAAATTTTGCGTTTTGGTTTTAATATGTGTAGACTTCTTTTCACAACATGAAACATAAATAGTATAGAAAATTGGACATTGCACGAGGATGAGAGTTTCCGGAACGAGACAAAGGCGAATGGACAAACTTATCCGAGTGGAATCACCAATTTCTCACGAATTTAACACTATACTTTTTCTGCTCATATAATCAAGAAAATAAAGACAAACAAATTAAGAATTATTTTTAATAATATTAACGATGACATTAATGATTTTCTCAATATGAGCAGAAAAATGTGTTTAAAATGGAAAATTTGTATAAGTAAATATCGATTTTGGAATTAGGCTCCGCCCCATAATTGCAAAATTCATAGTTCCTTGCAAAAATGTACCATTTTAACCATGTTTTGAGTTTCTTGTTGTGAAAAGATGGCTAAGTATATTAAGAAGAAACAAGGCAAAATATAAGCCCCGCCCACCCGCCCTATCTCAATTCTGATTATTTTTTTTATTCGCCGTAAGCCGAGGGGCGGAGCTTAATTATAAAATCTTTATTTTTTTACGAGAAATTAATTAATGTGCAATATGTTCTTAAAGATTAAGCCCCACCAATACCTGCCCTGATGTAAATAGTAATGAAGTTTTCATTCGTTGGCAGACCTAGGGGCGGAGCCTCATTGCAAAATCGATATTTCCTTATACAAATTTACCATTTTAAACATGTTTTAAGTTTCTTGTTTTGAAAAGATGACAACACATATTAAGAAAGCTTCGCGCACCCGCCCTGTCTCAATTGTGATGATTTTTTTATTCGTCGTGAGCCAAGGGGGCGGAGCTTATATTAAAAAACGTGTTGTTCAAAGAATAATAAGTATATAAAAAAAAAACTAACAAAAATTAGGACCCGCCTATATCCATCCCAAGCTCAATTGTAATGAATTTTTCATTCGTTGTCAGACCGAGGGGCGGAGCCTAATTGCAAAATCGATACTTTCCTACAAAAATTTACCATTTTAAACATGTTTTACCCTTCTTGGTGTGTAAAAAATACTACAGTACACATATTAAGAAAAAAGGGCAAAATGCGAGCCCTTATAGTTACAATACTTAACTTGATTTTAAGATGAATAGTAATAAATCTTGTTGATTTAAAGGTCGAAAACGATCTGTAACAATGCATAAGTACTGACAGAAAGCTACAGCTTCTTTTAGGTTGGCGGCACTGCACACTACCGTAATTTGATTGGTTGAAAGTCCAATGTCAGCGGCATTTCGATTTTGACATTGACATTAATAGGTTTCAATCAAAAATATGAAAACTATAAAACGATATATAAAACTGTAAAAACAACGTTGACGTAAGTTTGAGGTTATGTTTTCGACGTTTATTACAGTGACCATGTGACATTTGTCAACTTTGTAGCGAATTAGATTATTGCAATAGGGTCCGTTTGACCAATGACTAATTTCATGTTTTCTCAGCGTTTCGTGGTTCCTAGAATATGAAAACGTAGGCCGTCCGTTTTCGTTTGTCAGTTGTTTGTCGGTCGTCTGTTGGCGTTTTTTAGACTGAACTTTTAAACTGCTGGACTGATTACCAAAATTTGTCTATTTGATGACGTAATCTGAATTTTTTTTAACTTTGTCCTTGTAGATGTTTAGAACAAACAGTACGAAACCAATTACATTGAGATTTTCAAAAATTTGGTTATGTCGTTTAAAAATTGTATCGGGTGAACCTGGCGTTACACTTATAAGTGCCACATTTGGCAAACATTTGCAACTGTTAATACAGGCTGTCTCAAAAAATGTGTGATTAGAGACATATTTATTGATTAAATTAAAAAGAGTTATTCTAATTTTTGCGAAATTTTGAGCACACACGATTTCTGCTGCTATATCCCCACCAAAAAGTTATTTACGTCATCACAAAATTTTATTAAGATAATCTTACCTGCAAATTAACCATACTATTTACTAACAGTTTTTTTGTTCTAGTCAACGGATTTCCAACTAATTAAAAGGCGCCTAAAAAATTTCGCCAAAGAACTCAGAGACTTGGGCGCCAAGCAGCTGACATCTCGTGAAGAGCGCCGTCTGCTTGAAAGATATCTAGAGATTATTTACATTATTGAGTGCAAGAAAGGCAAGATTTCTCCAAACGAATACGAAAAGTTGTGGGCCAAGGTAGACGAATTTCGACAAACTCTTCAGCATTTTGGATTTTTTGAAATGGAACCACCGACGAACAGAGAGGTCGATGAACCAGACAAACAGGTGGAAGAAAACAAGCATAATTTAAGGTCCGCCACAGCAGGAAAGGGTGGCGAAGAACATACAGAAAAGAGCGATTCGTCTAACCCCGTAAGTCAAAATAATATTTCAATAAATGGGCAATTAAAATTTCGCTTCTTGTTGCAGAGTGATGAGTACTTTGAAATCAAAACCCACCTGGAAAATTTGATAACATTTTCTAAGAATGTGGATTCTGTAAGTACAGAGGATTGGTTAATACAACAAAAACAACTTTTTGCAAATATAACACAGAACAAACTTCTTTCTGACAAAGAACGCATTGAGTTGTTAACTTTATGCAACCAACATAAAACGGTCCTTGAAAGTACAAAAAGAAAGGCCAAGGATGAGGACCTACTGGAACATTATGTTGCCACAGGTACACAACATTATAAAACGTTTTCTACAAATTATTCCGTGCAGAACTCTGGGTCTTGGAGCAAACCCTCCGGTGATTCTAAATCAAGTAGGGGAACTAGGGGCTTGTTGTAACAGGGGTAAGTTGTAACACTAAATTTTTACCCACAATTTAAACTCTTTAACGTCAGGTATTTTACTGAATTTAATTCTTGCACCATAAGACATCATGTCATCACAACCACTGTTCCTTGAGCCAGCGCAGTGGGTGGATGTGTACACGTGTTTCGTTTTGGCTAAGTAATGTAAAATATTGCTTTAGTAAAATTTGGTTTTTCGTATCAGTTATTAATTAATTTAAAGCTTTTAGTTTTGCATGTAGCTCAAAAATTACTCAGCTTTGATATTCCTTACACATTTTGACGCTAAGCCACATAATTTTGTCGAAATCTAATTAAATGTAGAAAATTGTGTTGTAACAATAGCTTTGGGGCAAGTTGTAACATGTTACAACTTATCCCAAATTCACTTCTACAAATCTCGTACCCAGCATACGAAAAGCGAGCCAAAATTTTGACCTATGCCATATATCGCTTTCCAGATATATTAAGAAAAAGGAAGACAACACTCAAATTTTTAATGTTGACTCTCTTTCTAAAAGTTTATTTCAGTTTTACTGAAAAAAAATTGTATATAATGAAGTGTTGTGTTGATTTTTGAAAAATAAAGTCTAAATATGTATCAACATCAGCTTTATTTTTACTGGTACTACCTGTCTCATGGCTGTTACAACTAGCCCCAACCACGGGGCAAGTTGTAACAATGCACTTTTTTTAAGAAAATGCCTGGTGTGAAGTGAAGATGAACAATTTTGACCTTTTGCCTGTTCAGTCCAATAGGGGAATAGTTAGACTACCGATAGATACTTTTATAATGGTCAAACGGTATCGCAAACAACTGGTCGCAGCGTCAATTGATCGCAGCGACAACTGGTCGCAGTCACAATTCATCGCAAGTACAACTGGTCGCATGCGACAATTGATCGCGGGCGAAAAATGATAGCGTTTATAGAGAAAATAAGTAATTGTTATGAATGAGGAAAATAAAATAAAGTGTTATATTCTCAAAAATTTCATTATTTCTAAAAAAGTATCAAAATAAATACATACGAGTTCCATAAAAACAGTAGCTATTAGGCTCATTTCCGACTAAACCAAAGTGCAAAAAAGTGAAAATTTTGTAAAATAATTTTTTTAATGCTGACACATATTTCGTGGGTATGCTACTGTAATGTTCATTTGGATTATTCGTCTTATTAATTAGACACTCAAGTAAGTGATTCATGCCTTTTTCCTCACAAGTTTAAAGTTTGTCAATTAAAAGAGTGAAAAAAAATAGCTTTCAAAACGTGTTACACACGTCATTTTTTTTTAAATAAAAAATGGTTTTAAAATTATTACAACTGTCAAATTAAAAATTTATAGATTTATCATAATCAATGCAATCGTGAAAAAACTCTCGTTACAGTTTTAAGTGAAAATAGTTATTTACATTATGAGTGCGGTAGGTAACATTTTGCAGGTTGAGGTCCTAAGTTGCCACCCGACGCTAAGCGAAGGGTGGCATGGGACCGAAACCTGCAAAATGCCTAACCCATGAAAATTGTATTCAGTTTTTTCCCCGACATTGAGTTTATTTTAAAAAATATTTCATTTTAAAAATATTGGCCGAAATGGCAAGACATGAAGTGACAGTTTCGGGACTTGATATTTACTGAAGGAATCTATAATACCGATAGCCACGAGATGGCGCCATGTGGATTTTTTTAAATAATTCATTTTTTCTAATTCAAAAGTTTTGATTGAACAAAACATAATGTAAAGTTGCGTTCTAGTATCTTTTCTTTTATTATTTATACAGAACTTTTTTTAATAGAGCTTCTACACGCTAATGCATATTGAGTTAATTGTAATTTGGTGCGTAAAGTCACTGTTACGCGGCATGTCAAACGTGTGTGAATCTTTTGTTTACATGTCAGGAGGGGAAAAAGTATTATTTTCATTACGTTTGAAAGTTTAAAAAATTAAATAAATATATATATTTTTTTTAAATTTATATATACACTCGCGTAACCTCCTTTTCCAAAATTGTCAAAATGACATTGCCAAATTCAAAGCAATCATGGATTAAGCATTTCATTTTAAATTCAGTTAGTATCAAGTGGTACACGGTATTCGTATTTTGGATTGCGTAAAAATAATTTTCAGAAGTAATTTTCTCGTGACTAACCCTGTATATGTATTTTTTACATCCACATATGGTACAACTGAATTTTTCTTCAGTACAATACTAGTCACATAATAAGAATTAAAAAGTAAGTTTTTAGTTGCATAAGTACCTACATTTCTTAGATTTCCCGGTAACACAAAATTATTCTTGACGCTCTAACAAAAGTTTTTGCAATATATATTTACAATACACGTAAACCTTTCTCAAACCCTGTAAAAGATCCGTTGCAATTTACAAGGGATTAAAATAAATATTATATCCGTCCAGTGGAATTTACATTCGCTGTATATGGATAATCTAGATGTATTATTAGTTCATAAATTTTATTGTTTGGTGATATGTATAAAGACAAGAATAGACAATAGAGGCAATTCTGTATCAAACTGTGGTAAAATTTAAAGGTTGTTAAAAATACGATTTTTTAAATAATTGTATAATAAATCTAGTTAAGAACTACAAACACTTTTTTTATGTTGAGTACTTATTGTAATGAAGCTGGTTCCTATAATATAATAGGTAAAATAAGCAACGACATAAATAGTAACAATCTCTTAAAAAAATAACCAAAATGACAATTTATTAATAAAAAATGTTATGTAACAAGGTGTTTACGCTCGTGTTTTTTAATTTTTAAAGTGCAACTACAAACTTCGTCACTTATCTATATTCAAATTGTTTTTAATTCGATATTTACACCTTACCTGATTGCTAAATTTATTGCAACTTAAAATTCAGAATACAAAATATTTAGTTTTAATAAAAGAAAATACTTCCCGATGAATTTTACCTTGCGATCAATTGACGCTGCGATAAATTTACGTGCGATCTATTGTCGCTGCGATCAATTTACGTGCGATCAATTGTCGCTGCGATCAATCGTCGCCGCGATCAATTGTCGCGTGCGACCAATTGTGCTGCGACGAGTTGTTTGCGATCAATTGTCGCGCGATCAGTTGTTTGCGACCAGTTGTCGTAGAATCGGTCAAACAGCTAATAGATACCAAATTATATTCGTTTTCCTAAAAACTGTTACAACAAACCCCTCGTTCCCCTACTTCGAACTCGAACAATTTTAATGGACACAAAGAAATAAATCAGGAATTCCAAAATCTCAAATTTACAAAGACGAATGAGTTACCAAAATGTGAAGAAGAAATGGATCACGGAATGGTTCCAGAGCAGACAAAAAAAAACCCGATCTGCAAAATTACCCATTGCTTATACGAGAACCGTAGAAGAATTAGTTTCAGAAATGTTGAGACCCACTATAAATAATTCATGTGAAGAATAACATCCAATTGAAGAAACTGTCCACAAGTTTTCGAGCAAACCTTCTAGTGATTCTAAATCTAGTATTTCCGACCCGAGCAGTTTTAGTAAAAACAATGAAACACATCACCAACAAGAAGCCAAAAATAAGAACCCTAAAGATAAATAAATAAAGACGTTATTATTAAGACCCACCACTGACCCGGAAATGACCGGCATTCAGGCAAGACTTCTATCACTACGGGTACTAAGCCAAGAAGTAATGATATGCATTGATTAGATTAACAGAACAACTTTCGAGATTCTAGAATTACAGCATACAAATTAGTCTGCTATTATTCTCTAATCTCACCCCATCCCCAAAAGTCTAGCGTAACTACCGACCATTTATCCGCGCATCACATGAAAAGTGACCTACACTACTCTGACCTACTGGTGCTAATCTAATCTGACTAACATGATCAGACTGTTCAAGAAACTTACGAACAATATGACATGTTCCTAACAAAACAGCTTTTTGAATTTTGACAATTATTGAATCATTCAAATGCAAAGACTTTAAATTCTCAACTAAGCTATTTGGAACTACACCTACATTAGAGATAACAAGGGGTAGAATTGAAATTTTTTTAATATTCAACATGGATTTCATTTCTATCGATAATTGTAGATATTTTGAAATCTTGGTGTCGTATGTTTGAATAATGTTGTTTGTGTTAGGAATAGCAATGTCAATGAGAATGGCTTCGTTCGTGTGTTTTTTGACAAGTATGATGTCTGGTCTGTTAGCTGTAATGTTTAAGTCTGTAAGTATTGTGCGATCCCAGTATAATTTGTATTTGTTATTTTCAAGGAACGGAGATGGAATGTAAGTGTAATAGGGTGTCATATCTTCGATTAAGTTCATAAGTGTTGCTAATTCTTTGTGAATGATTTTGGCTGCGTTGTCGTGTCTAGCTTTGTAATCAGTTTGTGCTAGGATGCTGCAGGAAGAGATTATGTGCTGAATCGTTTCAGGTTTTGCTTTGCAGAGACGACAGCAGTCGTTTCTTATGTTCGGATCTTTGATGATGTATTTTCTGTAATTCTTGGTATTGATTACTTGGTCTTGAATAGCAAACACAAATCCTTCTGTTTCGGCACACAAACTTGATTTTTTTAACCAAATCAATGACATCTTCTTATTGACATGAGTTTCTTCTAAGTCTTTGTTAAATTTTCCATGTAGTTGTTTTTGTTTTAGCTCACTTATTATTTTATCTATTGTGTGGGGGGGTGTGGATTTTTTCGGTGTTCGACAGATTTAAGGGTGTGTGGTTCAAATCTGCTCTTGTGATGGTGCGAAACATTTCATTTCTTTCCGCTCGTTTCAAGAAATACTTCTTCAAATCTGAGATTTGTCTCTGATATAAGTTTTCTAGGTTCTGGAAACCCCTTCCTCCATTCTGTCTTGGTAATGAGAATCTTTCAATCGACGATTTTGGATGATGCCTTCTATACTGTGTGAAGATTTTCCTTGTTGCGATATTTAATTTTTATTATTATTATTATTATTATTATTATTCAAAGTTCGGTACAGAACATACGAGGTAAGCGCCAAATATTCTCGGCCTGATATATTTGCGATTGCTCGTCGGGAAATTTGTACAACTCATAAAAGACTAGAGGGTCCCCGCAGTATGTGTGTAAAATTTCAAGCCCCACTGCCCATTAGTTTTGATACATTTGAGGAGTAATATTTGAAAAATTATGGACTCATCATGCCTGTTTAAAATTGAAAATCGAACGGCAATAAAATTCTTATCAAAAGATGGAATTGCTCTAAAGGGTATTAAGGACAGGATGGTTTTTGTGTTTGCTGAAGCTTGTCCTTCACATTTTACTAAAAAAAATGATCACAGTTATTTCGCATGGGGTAAGAAACCCTTGAAGACGAACCAGTCTTCCAAAAAAATCATGGCCACAATTTTTTGGGACTGTAAAGGCATGTTGTTGATTAATTTTAAAGGATGAAATACCACTGTCAACGCTACATATTATGCTTACTTACTGCATAAATTAGGAGACCGTATTTGGGAAAAAAGGCCGAGAAAATTAACAAGAGGCGTTCGATTGCTTCATGAAAATGCGCTCGTTCATACCGCATGTCTTTCTCAAGCTGCTATAGGGGCCTGTGACTTCGAGTAACTTGATCATCCACCCTACAGTACTGACTTAGCTTCGAACGATTATTAACTGTTCTCTAAGATAAAAAACGACTTGCAGGGAAAACGTTTTGGACGGATAAAGAGGTGCAAACGGCAGTACTACATCATTTTAGTGATAAAGATTCAAATAATTTTTTTAAACGCACAGAGCTGTTAGTTGAACATAGTTTTGAATGTATTGAAGTTAACAGAGATTATGTTGAAATATAAATATTTATTTTTTTTCCATCAGGTCTCTTTCTTTGTTAGGCCGAGAATATTTGGCGCTTACCTCGTACAAGTCAGTTGGGAAATAATTTTTCAAAATCAAGTGAAAGTTGCCATTCTTGCAACGAAAATCATCCTTCACGAAGCAATCAAAACTCAGCTGATCCGACTCGTGGTCGTATTCCCGATATAGAAGATGTCCATCACCATAGTCACGGCGATAATGATGGAAAGCAAACGGATTCTAAATCTGTTACAAAACGGATCGATTTGTCTAACTCTGTAAGTCTGGTTAATTTCAGTATAAAGCAACCAAAAATTCTCTTATTGTTTCAGGATCGACCATACCCTACAGTCAAAACCCGCCTGAAAAATGTGTTCACAAATTTGAAGAATTCCATAGAAGCGCATTCCTTAGAGCTTGAGCACATTTTTCAGGATATAATAAAAGAGAAGGAGCTTTCTTTTCAAGAACGCCAAGAATTGTTAACTTTGTGGAAAGAATATAAAACGTGCCTTGAAAGTATTGAAAAGAAGATATGGAACAAGGAAGCGTAGAACATATGTTTACGTAATTTTTAAATTTAGACAATGTGATAGTGAATTTGACACTGAAGTTTACAAACAATGCAAAAACTTTCAGTTTCATGTAATAAATACATTCCCAGGGCGTTTTTTATAATACATAATAATATAATATATACCTCTAAAATTTTATGAAATGATAGGAAGCGTTAATTTTTTAATTTGAACTTGCATCTAGGGACTTTTAAACCGTGAACGTGCCCTCAGTGTTAGATCTATTGGGGGCAAACCCGATTTACTGCACTAATTTTTACAGCGCAGATGCTCTTCTCCAAAGCGATTCCTCGCCACTTTCAATACGCCAGTGTAACTGGGGTCGCATAACCGCGAAGAAACTGACATTCAAGTGGCAGTGGCGATAAAATAATCTGTTGCGATAAGCGTATAATTGCGACGAGAACAATTTACTTTAAAATATATAATCTGAACTGTACTGTAATAATAGATCTCCATGTGGAAGATAAAGTCGTCGACTAGTTTATTGGGTGTGGATGTTTGTGTGAAAGTATTTTTAAAACAAGGTCGACATGTTTGGAGGATGCTGTGAAGTAAGTTCGTTATTTACGTGTTTCTATGTATACGTATTGTACTTGATGTTAGGTTAATAATTCATTGGTTTGTGGTTGGCCGTGTAAAAACAAAGTTGACGTAAGTGTGAGGTTATGTTTTCAACGTTTTTTGATTGACGTTTGGCAACTTGAACTGACAGAATTCATTAAATGGTCAAGTCAAACTTATACAACCCGTTATACAGAAATAATGAATCAGGTGAAGGTACTGAGTAAGAAAACTTGATAGCTAATATTGAAATTAAAAACACATATTTACGAAAATATATTGGAATGTTAATTTGGGGGATAAATTATTAAATTAAGTATATGTTTTTGCTTTTTTGTAGCTAGTTTCGGGTATTGTAATAGGGCCCAGGTTTTCTTAACGTTTCATAATTCCTAGAATATGAAAAAGTAGGTCGCCCTATGGGTTATAGTTGTACTCTTCATCACTACAAATTGACTATTTTACCACACGTTTTTTTGTTCTAGTCGACCGATTTCCAACTAATTAAAAGGCGCCTAAAAAATTTCGCCAAAGAACTCAAAGGTTTGGGCTCTAAGCAGCTGACATCTCGCGAAGAGCGCCGTTTACGTGAAAGATTTCAAGAGATCATTCACATTATTGAGCGCAAGAAAGGCAAGATTCCTCCAAGAGAATATAAAAAGTTGTGGGTCAAGGTCGACGAATTTCGCCAAAATTTTCAGCATTTTGGATTTTTTGAAATGGAACCACCGACGAACAGAGAGTTCGATGTACCAGACAACCAGGTGGAAGAAAACAAGAACTTGAGGTCCGCCACAGCAGGAAAGGGTGACGAAGAACATACAGAAAAGAGCGATTGGTCTAACCCCGTAAGTCAAAATAATATTTCAATAAATGGGCAATTAAAATTTGGCTTCTTGTTGCAGAGTAATGAGTACATTGCAATCAAAAGCCACCTGGAAAATTTGATAACATTTTCTAAGAATGTGGATTCTGAAAGTACAGAGGATTGGTTAATACAACAAAAAGAACTTTTTGCAAAGATATCAAAGAATACGTTTCTTTCTGACGAACAGCGTCGTGAGTTGTTAATTTTATGTAAACGATATAAAACGGATCTTGAAAACACAAAAAGAAAGACCAAGGATGAGGACCTAATGGAACATTATGATGCCACAGGCACACAAAATTATAAAGCGTTTTCTACGAATTATTCCGTGCAGAACTCTGGGTGTTGGAACAAACCCTCCAGTGATTCTAAATCGAGTACTTCGGACCCCAGCTATTTTAATAGATACAATAAAGAAATAAATCAGGTATCCCAAAATCCCAATTTTCCAAAGAGTGATGAGTTAGCAAGAGTCCATAGATCAAGTCACAAGACCAATTTCGGTTTCAATCCAAGCACGAAAGGAGCATCTTTCGAAAAAGATCAAACCAAATATGAGGAAGAAATGGATCACGAAATGGTCCCAGAACAGACAACACAAACCCGATCTGGAAAATTACCCACTGCTTATACGAGAACCGTAGAATTAGTTTCAGGAATGCCGAGACCCACTATAAATAATTCGTGTGAGGAACAACATCCAGTTGAAGAAACTGGTAAAAACACCCGAATCCACCAAGACCCAGAAACCGAAATTCAAGACACCAAACGTGGGCGAAGAGAAGAAAGTGCAGCTGAAAGAATCAGACACAGTGTCAGACATAATGAAGATGAAAATTGTGCCCGAAAACAAAATGGTCATCAGAAGCATCATTGTCCTAGCTATCATGACCCTCACCTGATTGGTAAAAAAGAGGGCAAGGTGTACCAAGATGATTCACTCAGAACTGAAGATGTACAGTTCGAACCACATTTCCATAATAATATTTCAGGTACTAAAAACTTTAATAGACCAGATGGATCCTTAGGAAGTTGTGGCGACCACGTTTATTCAAATTCCAGTACAGAATACACAAGAAACAATTCAAACCACCAATATTCTTCTTCAAACTTAAGCGATAATCCTCAGTCCCGACACCGTGGTGTTCTAGAAATAGCCCAAGAGGCCAAGGAAGACGAACCTTTGCAGATCCTCGACGTTCACAAGTATTTTCGCGACGACATCGACTGGAACAAGATAGATTCCTTCGATTTCCCGGAACGAATAGAGGCGATTTCCAGCCACGCCGGGACCTTCAAGCCCCAAATAGAATCCTTCGAAGAAGAAAAATACTCCTTGGAGTACTTCGTCATCGACGAAAAACTAATGCGTCTGATCGAAAAACTGGACAAAATCAAGTGCCAAGACAACCCGACTCTTACCCACAAGAAAATCGAAGTGATAGAATATATAAAAAATTTGCAGTCCCTTCTGGACGAACGCGCCAAAGAATAATAAACATACAAGTACTTTTTGCGTGTATTATTTTTTTTCTAATTTCTCATCTATAAACTCTAGAGTACCTTGCGCGAACAAAATCGCGTCTTTCCTGTGTTCCCGTATCGCGTTATGATCCCGTGCGTCGATTTCGTCTAGCTTGATGATCACTTGAAGCAGAGTCTCTGCAAAGTTGTCCAATTCGCTCTTGTCGCTCGTCACTTTAACTTTGTTTTTAATGGTTTCCATTTCGTCCATGATGTCGGTGATTTCTCTGAGAATACGAGTTACGTAGGTTTCGATTGTGGTGTCATCGTCCGAATCGTCTGAGTCGTCGTTGAGAGCGCCCAAAACGAACTCCCCTGCGTTTCTTTGGCCATTGTTTTCCGCCATAACTGACGTTTCGGGAATTTTGACACTCATAACGGTTCACGAGATATTTACATGGCGATATCCCAAAGTAAACTTTAATCTGATAAGGTTTTATCGCGCATTTAGTAGCGTGGAGTTGCGAAATGTGGTAGGTAAGATAAGTTTCTTGTGCGGGACATCAGATCTGAGACATGACTTCGGCAATAAATGACATGTACAAGAGACTGGAAGACTGTGTAGATAGTCTGGAGAAGGATGTAAGGAAAAGTTTGGATAACGTGACGGGGGAAAATTTTGACAAGACTGTGGCTGCCTTGGAAACGAGCAAGGATTTCCACTACCAGGAAATCCTGAGTCAGTTAAAACAGATCAAAGACCGGATTCAGGTCATCGCGGAGCACAACCGGAGTCTTCAGTTGCTACAAAAGAAGATCAATGGGACTAGAATTGACAGGAACTATATTAAAAGGCAAGTGGAGGTGTTTCAAAGGATGGGGATGGTGAACCGGCGGGAGCGCAAGCCGGTGAGACATCCAGAGACCTCGTCCATGAAGCTACTGGAATCATGGGAGAAGTTAATCGAAGAACAAGAAACGAATTCCAATCTGGGGAATTTTCTGTCGGTTCCGAAACGGACGAACTACGTCAGAAAAAACAAAAAAGTGATTTCGTCCACCGTGGACACTCTTTTGGAAAGTTCCAAAGCGAAAAGCCTCTCTTTGGACGTTTTGGTTGAAGAAAGTGTCAAAGGGAAAGATCTTCCAGTCCTGACGAAATGTATGTCTTCGGATTCGTTAGCTTTGAGAAAATTTAGGGATGCGGAAGCCGTCAATGAAGCGGTTATTGAAGTTCCAAGCGAGGAAAAATTTCGGGCGAAATCACAATCGTTCAGTTCGTCGTCGGACAAAAATACGAGCCACCAGAAGCTCCAAAGTATCACAAAAAGTGTGTCCTCGGATGCCCTAAATACCAAAACGACTGACAAAAATGAGATACCTGTCACCAAACAAGTGATTCCGAAGGTTGTAGTAGACACCCACGACAAATCTCCCGTTGATACCAAGCCTCGAATCGTCCAAGTCATTGTAAGTCTCCCCTTACCCCAATCTCTCTTTATCGCTCTATTTTCAGTACAAAAAAAACTCCAACGGTCGCACTCCAACCCCGAATCATTAGTCACCCGTTATCACTTATCGCAAACAAGCGATTATCTTTCAAGTGGGCCAAATCACCAATCGCAACAATCGACGAGAAAAAACATGACAATGCCACAAACACACATGCGTTTCTACAGAGAAGACATTTTCGACGTGTTATTAATAAGATAAGTTATCAGTGTGTTACGAAACGAGAACACTTTGTTTATAACGTGTACAACACAGCGTCCAATGGGTGTGGTGGGCTCAAAATCCCCGTTAGAAAGACGTAACACGGTGTTACGTCGAAGCCAGAGGAAGTCCATCCATGGGGTCAAGTCCAAGGCTGAGAAACTCGCCAAAGACATCCGCAAGTTCAAGGGCACTGAAGAGAACACCGACTACGTGGAGCTGAAAGCGCGGATCGAGACGGCAGAGCGCGAGTTGAGAACGCACTCGAAGGGCCTGCAGCCCCAAATCAGGAACATCTACGCGGAAGCGCTGAAGAAAACTGAGGATTGTTACAAGCTCCTGGAGGACAAGTTGAAGGAAAACCAAGACAAGGTGAAAGCAGTGCCATCGAAGAAAGGTGACAAGGAGGAGCACGACGACGACAACCAGGAGAAAGACGATGATGATGAAGTTTTCGTGGAGGAAGTGAACGAAGTGGAGCAAACCCCCGAAAGGAGAAAAACGGTTGAGTTGAAGGTGATTCAAGTGGAACAGATCGAGGCGAGTCCACAAACCAACAAGCGCCTCTCTGCTATGAAATTAGGAGTTCCGGTGTTACCGGGTACCATATTGGAGTCCATACACAGAAAGACAGAGGAGTCGAATTTACACAACGAAGAGAAAATTGCTGCCATACGTAAAGAAATCGAGGTTGTAGAGTCGGAGATTAGCCAGTTCGTGGGACGAAGGAACGGGATTCACTACAACAGGATCAAGCGACAATTGGAGAATTACTCCGCCGATTTGCACACGATTTCTACCAGTGATGAAGACATCCTCGAGCAGCTCAAGCTCTGCAATAACTACATAGGGAGTTGTGTGTCTTTCTTGGATGAGAAGGCGCTCGATGACGATGTGGATGGTGACGATGACGACGACTATGACGAAGTTCCGAGTAAGAGTAGTGATGTCGCGGTACCAGAGACCAACTTGTCGCCGAGGAGCATAAGAACGACCTATATTTAAGTTTGTTTTGTCTAGATTGTAGGGATAGATATTAGATGTGTCATGCTCAAATATGTTGTCACGCGACTTAGTCATTGGTGATTAAGGTTATGTAAGGATAAAGACAAATAAATTATTGTGAAATGCGAGTTGGGTTATTAATTGTTGGGGAAATTGGCGCAATATGTAGGTAAGGAACGGATTTGGGTGGTCATGGAGGCTTATCAGTGATGATACGGCGAATAATTAAAGTCATGATAAGACACACACTCTTCACATGTTCGTGGAAAGTTATTCGATCGATTTGGAATTGTAAGTAGTAAATCACAACAATAAAACTAACAAGTGTAATAATAATAATAATAATATATGATAAGTGTTTTCGTCGAAATTGTGTTGTGTACAACGCGACAAACAATAATACATATTTTAATTTTGTGTATTAGATGCAGAGATAGATAGATAAATGGGAACGATCTAGAACTTTTATCGGGCGTCGGAATTTGGTAAGGGCACGAGTAGGGGGCGTTCGACGATGGTTAATTACGTGTTTTTCCTAGAATATGAAAAAGTAGGTCTGTTAGCGATTCTATTAGGGGGATAATCTTCAAAACTTTTAGACAGATTCGGGTGAAAATCTATGACTCAATTTGTTTGTTTTCCTTTCCAAAAATTTGATGACGTCATTTTAACATTTTGCAAGTTAAATCTCGCTTTAAATGAAAAACGGGTTATCTATTTTTTTTATTTGAATTATTTTTGAAAAATATTTTTGGCGTTTTTATGGAAAATGTCCATTTTTCTTCAATTGTTTCGGAAAAATATAGCAAAAATTACCTCAGAAACGCAAATATAGGGAATATTTTCTGTATGATGACCTTGTTTAGTTCGAATACGAGTAGAATCTGTTTTTACTTTTTTGAAAAATTTTTGGATCATATTTTCTCATCTTTTCTAGACCCTTTGAAAAGATTTAGTAAAAGTAGCTTCAGATTTCAGATTCGTAATCCTCGAAAAATGCCCCATAAGCTCCTCCTTCTTTTGATTTGAACATGTAGTACCAATTTTTTGGGAAATTTTGGAAAATTAGCATTTGTTTTTTTTTTTTGATTTTTGAAAAATCATAGCAAAAATGACCTCAGAGTCGTAAATTTTATGAAAATATTTTCTGTAAGCTTATCGTTTTTTTTTATTCGAACAGAGCCCGTTCTAACATTGTTTATTTTGAAAAATGTTTCGATATTTTTTCATTGTTCTAGGTCAAGACATTTAGTAAAAATAACTTCATATTCGAAATTTGGGAAGAATTCCCGACAAAAGAGTAATTTTTTCCCTTTGAATAAAGCCTGTATATCATTTTTCTGAAAATTTGGGAAAATTATTTTTCGCATGGTTAAAGAAATATCACGAAGATTGTTTCAAATTCGTTATTAAATAATGGAAATTTTTCATAAGTTTGCATTTTTTACTTGAATGACGCTTATGATCTTAATTTTTTTTTGAAAATTTTGAAAAATGTTTTCAAGTGTTTCTCGGATCTTTGAAAACATAGACAAAACAAGACTTTATTTTGTAATCTACGAAAAAGTTTTTTCATTCTTTTTATTTGGATAGACAGTCGGACCCTTTCTTTTTTTGGGAAATTTTTGGAAAATGCTTTGCTTTTTTTTCTCGATTTTTTGAAAAACTATAACAAAAACGATTCCAGATTCGTAAATTTAGAAAATATTGTCTTAAGATTATCGTTTTTTTGGTCAAATAGAACCAGTTTTAACACTTTTTTGAAAAATTTTTGGATCATATTTGCTCATTTTTCTAGGCCATTTGAAGAGATTTAATAAACGTTGCTTCATATTTCAGATTGGTAATCCTCGAAAAATTCCCTAAAAGTTTCACTTTTTTTTTTCGTTTGAATAGATATAGTTTGAACATTTATTTTTGGAAAATTCTTGAGAAATGTTATTTTCGTGATTTTTGAAAAACCATAGCAAAAATAACTTCAGACCCGTAAATCTAGAAAATATTTTCTTTATTTAACATTTTTTATACAATAGAAATTTTTGATAAGTTTACATTTTTTCACTCGAATGACGCCCATAATGTTAATTTTTTTTTCAAATTTTTGAAAAATGTTTTTCATTGTTTCTCGGTTCTTTGAAGAAATTGACAAAACATGACTTTATTTTCGTACTATACGAAAAATTTGCTATAAGTTTCTCAGTTTTTTCATTTGGACAGACAGTCGGAACATTTTTTTTGCAAAATTTTTGAAAAATGTTTGTCTTTTTCCTTGATTTTTGAAAAACCATAGAAAAAATGACCTCAGATTCGTAAATCTAGGAAATATTTGTTTTATTCGAACAGAACCCGTTATAACACTTTTTTTGAAAAATTTTTGGATCACATTTTTGCATTTTTCTAGGTCATTTGAAGAAATTTATTAAAAATGAGTTCAAATTCGAAATCTGGGCTTCTGGGCACAATTCCCTACAGAAAAATACTTTTCTTCCTTTGAATATAGCCTATATATAATTTTTTAGAAAATTTGGGAAAATTATTTTTCCATTTTTTTTCTCTTGCTTAAAAAAATATAACAAAAATTGTTTCAAACTGGTAATTAGACAATGGAAATTTTTGATAAGTTTGCATTTTTTCACTTGAATGACCCCTATAGTGTTAATTTTTTTGGAAATTTTTGAAAAATGTTTTCCATTGTTTTCCAGTTTTTTTAAGAAATAGACGAAACATGACTTTATTTTCGCATTCTAAGAAATTCTTTTCACACAGTTGGAACATTTTTTTTTTGAAAAGTTTTGGAAAATATTTTCTTTCTTTTCTCGATTTTTTGAAAAACTATAAGAAAAAAGATTTCAGAATTGCAAATCTAGGAAATATTGTCTTTAAGATTATCCTTTCTTTTTTCGAATAGAATCCCTTTTAACATTTTTTTGAAAAATCTTTGGAACATATTTTCTCATTTTTTCTAGACAATTTGAAGAGATTTAATAAAAGTGACTTCATATTAATTCAGATTAATACTCGAAAAATACCCTATAAGCTTCCGTTTTTTTTTCATTTAAATAGATAGTCTGAACGTTTATTTTTGGAAAATTCTTCAAACATTTTTTTTCGACTTTTTTTAAAACTATAGCAAAAAAACTTCATAATCGTCAATCCAGGAAATATTGTCTTTAAAACTGTCGTTTTTTTGTTCGATAGAACCCGTTTTAACACTTTTTGAAAAATTTTTGGATCGTATTTTCCCATTTTTTTAGACCATTTGAAGACATTTAATAAAAGTAATTTCAGATTCGAAATCTGGGGAGAACTCTGGACACATCAGAAGTTTTCCCCAGTTGAATAAAACCTGTTATATCGTTTTTGGGAAAATTTGGGAAAACTATTTTCTCATTTTTTTTCGCTTGATTAAAGACATTGTTTCAAATTCGTAATTACACAATGGAAGTTTTTCTTTTTTTTTTTTCACTTGATGGATACATATTTTAATTTCTTTTGGATTTTTTTGTTATATTACTTTTGGGAAAATTTGAAAAAAAAATCTCATTTTCCTCCACTTGGTTAAAGAAATATGACAAAAAATGTTTCAAATTTGCAATTAGACGATGAAAATTCTCCATAAGTTTTCGTCCTTTCACTTGAATGATGCCCATTTTAATTTCTTTTTGCAAATTTTTTAAAAATATTTTTCACTTTTTCTTAGTTGATTGAAAAAATAGATAGCAAAGGACTTTTCATTGGTTAGATAGTCTGAAAATTATTTTTTTGAAAAAATGTTGGAAAATGTTTTTCCTTTTTTCCTGATTTTTCTAAAACCCATAGCAAAAATGACTTCAGCTTGGTACATTTACAAAATATCGTCTCTAAAATTATCGTTTGTTTTTTGTTCGAGTAGAATCTGTTTTAACACTTTTTAGAACGATCATATTTTCTCATTTTTCTAGGCCATTTAAGAAATTTAGTTAAAATGACTTAAAATTCATAATCTGGGAATAATTCTCTACAAGATTTTTCACTTTTCTATTTTCCCAATTTTTTAATTTTTTCGTTTGGTTAAAGAAAAATAGAAATCTTTGATAAGTTTTGCATTTTTTCACTTGAATGACGCCTATAATGTTAATTTTTTTTTTGGAAATTTTTGAAAAATATTTTCCTTTGTTTCCGGGTTTTTTGAAGAAATTATCAAAACATGACTTTATTTTCGTATTCTACGAAAAATTTGCTATAAGTTTCTCATTCTTTTCAATTGGATAAACAGTCGCCCCATTTTTTTTTGGAAAATTTTTGGAAAATGTTTTTCCATTTTTCTAGATTATTTAAAGAGATTTGGTAGATGTGACTTCAGATTCGAAATCTGAGGAGAACTTTCTACAAGTCAGTAGTTTTTTTCAGTTGAATAAAGTCTGTTATATCATTTTTGGGAAAATTTGGAAAAAATATTTTCTCATTTTGTTTTCGTTTGATTAAATAAATATAGCGAACATTGTTTCAAATTCATAATTCAGCAAAGGAAATTCTTCATAAGTCTTTTGTTTTTTCACTTGAGTTATGCCTGTTTTAGTTTATTTTGGATTTTTTTTGTTTTCCTTTTTTTCTCTATTTTTTTAAAGTATAGCAAAAACCACATCAGATTCGTCTATTGTTTGCAAGATTTCGTTCTTTCAGTTAAATGATGCCAATTTTAATCTCTTTTTGGATTTTTTTTATTTTTCATTTCTCTTTAGTTCTTTGAAGAAACAGAATTTTCGTAACCTACGAAATTTGCTTTAAGTTTGTCTCTATTTTCATTTAAATAGTCTGAATTTTTCTTTTGGAAAATGTATGGAAAGTGTTTTTCCTTTTTTCTAGATTTCTTGAAAAATCATAGCAAAAATGACTTCAACTTTGTAAATCTAAGAAATACTTCTCTAAGATTACCGTTTTTTTTTTGTACGAGTAGAATCTGTTTTAACACTCTTGAAAACTTTTTGGATCATATTTGCTCATTTTTCTAGCCCATTTGAAGAGACTTAGTAAAAGTGACTTCAGATTCGAAAGCTGGGGAGAATTTATTTACAAAACAATACTTTTTTCAGTTTGAATAAGGCCTGATATACAATTTTTGGGAAAATTTGGGAACATTCTTTTCCCATTGTTTTGTCATTTGATTAACGAAATGTGACAAAATTGTTTCAAATTCGTATTTAGAGATCAAAATTCTTTCTTTTCATATGGATAGACACTTTGAATAATTTTTTTTTGGAAAATTTTTGAAACATGTTTTCCTTTTCTCTCGATTTTTTCAAAAATTGTACCGAAAACCTTTTCAGATTCGTAAATTTAGAAAATATTGTCTGTTAACTTACGTTTTTTTGTTTGAATAGAATCCGTTTTAACATTTTTTTGAAAAAATTTTTGGATTATTTTCTAGATATTTAGTAAAAGTGATTTTAAGTTCGGATTCGTAATCTTCGAAAAATCCCTGTAAATTTTTGATAAATTTGCATTTTTTTTCACTTGAAAGACACCTATATTGTTAATTTTTTTTGGAAATTTTTGAAAAATATTTTCTATTGTTTCCCGGTTTTTTAAAGAAATAGACGAAACATGACCGTATTTTCGTATTCTAGGAAAAACCTGCTACAAGTTTTTCATTCTTTTCATTTGGACAGACAGTCGGAACATTTTTGTTTGGAAAATTTTTGAAAAATGTTTGTCTTTTTCCTCGATTTTTGAAAAACCATAGCAAAAATTCGTAAATCTAGGAAATATTTTGTGTAACCTTATCGTTTTTTTTTTTGTTCGAAACAGAACCCGTTTTAATACTTTTTTTGAAAAATTTTTGGATTATTTTTTGCATTTTTCTAGGTTATTTGAAGAGATTTAGTAAGAATGATTTCAGATTCGAAATCTGGGAGAATTCCTTACAAGAGAGCACTTTTCTCTCTTTGAAAATAGTTTATATATAATTTCTGAGAAAATTTGGGAAACTTATTTTTCCATTTTTTTCGCTTGGTTAAAGAAATATAACAAAAATTATTTCAAATTCGTATATAATTATACAATGGAATTTTTGAAAAGTTTACTTTTTTCCACTCGAATGAAGCCTATAATGTTAATTTTTTTTGGAAATTTTTTAAAAATATTTTCTATTGTTCCTTGGTTCTTTGAAGAAATAGACAAAACATGACTTTATTTTCGAACTTTACGAAAAATTTGCTATAAGTTTCTCATTCTTTTCATTTAGGCAGACAGTCGGAACATTTTTTTTTTTGAAAATTTTTGTAAAATATTTGTCTTTTTCCTTGATTTTTGAAAAACCATAGCAAAAATGACCCCAGATTTGTAAATCTAGGAAATATTTTCTGTAAGCTTATCGTTTTTTTTTTTTGTTCAGATAGAACCCGTTATAACACTTTTTTTTGAAAAATTGTTGGATCATATTTTTGCATTTTTCTAGGTCTAGAAATTTAATAAAAATGAGTTCAAATTCGAAATCTGGGAACAATTCCCTACAAAAAAGATACTTTTCTTCCTTCGAATATAGCCTGTGTATAATTTTTTAGAAAATTTGGGAAAATTATTTTTCTATTTTTTTTCTTTTGCTTAAAAAATATAACAAAAATTGATTCAAATTACTAATTAGACAACGGATATTTTTGATAAGTTTGCATTTTTTCACTCGACTGACGTCTATAATGTTATCTTTTTTGGAAATTTTTGAAAAATGTTTTCCATAGTTTCTCGGTTTTTTGAAGAAATAGACAAAACATGACTTTATTTTTTATTCTACGAAAAATTTGCTATACATTTCTCATACTTTTGATTTGGACAGATAGTTGGAACATTTTTTTCTTGGAAAATTTTTGGAAAATGTTTTCGTGTTTTTTCGATTTTCTGAAAAACTATAACAAAAGAGATTTCAGATTCGTAAATCTGGGAAATATTGTCTTTAAGATTATCCTTTTTTTTTGTTGGAATAGATAACGTTTTAACACTTTTTTGAAAAATTTTTGGATCATATTTTTCCATTATTAGACCATTTGAAGATATTTAGTAAAAGTGATTGCAGATTCGAAATCTGGGGGAACTCTCGACAAGTCAGTAGTTTTTTCCAGTTGAATAAAAAGCCTCTTATATCATTTTTGGGAAAAGTTGGGAAAACTGTTTTCTCATTTTTTTCCTTTATTAAAGACATAACGAGCATTGTTTCAAATTCGTAATTAGACAATATAAGTTTTTCTTGTTTTCACTTGATGATGATTTTAATTTCTTTTGGATTTTTTTGTTATATTATTTTTAGGAAAATTTGAAAACATTATTTTCTCATTTTCTTCCGCAATTGTTAAAGAAATATGAGAAACATTGTTTCAAATTTGTAATTAGACGATGAAAAATCTCCGCAAGTTTTCGTCTTTTCAGTTGAACGATGCCCATTTTAAAAATTCTTTTTCAAAATTTTTAAAAAACATTTTTCACTTTTTCTTAGTTCATTGAAAAAATAGGCAGTACAGGACTTCATTTTTGTAATCTACGAAAAATTTGCTGTAAGTTTGTCTCCGTTTTCATTGGTTAGGTAACCTGAAATTTTTTTTTGGAAAAATTTTGGAAAACGTTTTTCCTTTTTTCTAGATTTTCTAAAACCCATAGCAAAAATGACTTCAGCTTGGTAAATTTACGAAATATTGTCTCTAAAATGATCGCTTGTTTTTTGTTCGAGTAAGAAGCTGTTTTAACACTTGTTGGAAAAATGTTTGTATCATATTTTCTAATTTTTTAGTCCATTTAAGAAATTTAGTAAAAATCTCTTCAAATTCGAAATCTGGGGATAATTCGCTATAAGGTAGTAAATACTTTTCTCTTTTTGAAAAAGGCCTGTTATATTATTTTTAGGAAAATTTAGGAAAATCGTTTTCTCAATTTTTTCGCTTGGTTAAAGAAAAATTTTTGATAAATTTGCATTTTTTCACTTGAATGATTCCTATATTTTTTTTTTGGAAATTTTTCGAACATGTTTTCCATTGTTTCTCGGTTTTTTGAAGATATAGACAAAAAATAACTTTATTTTCGTAATCTACGAAAAATCTGCTTAAATAAAAAAAATTTCTCATTCTTTTCATTTAGATACAGTCGGACCATTTGTTTTTTTGTTAATTTTGGAAAATGTTTTTCCATTTTTCTAGATTATTTAAACAGATTTGGAAGATGTGACTTCAGATTCGAAATCTGAGGAGAACTCTCTAGAAGTCAGTAGTTTTTTTCAGTTGAATAAAGTCTATTATATCATTTTTGGGAAAATTTCGAAAAATTATTTTCTCATTTTTTTTCGTTTGATTGAAAAAATATAGCGAATATTGTTTCAAACTCATAATTCGACAATGGAAATTCTTCATAAGTCTTTTATTTTTTCACTTGAATCATGCCTGTTTTAGTTTATTTTGAAATTTTTTTTTGTGTTCCTTTTTTCTATACTTTTTTTTTTAAATTAGAAAAATTTACTAAAAGTTATTTTCAGCTCTGAACTTTTTTTGGAAAATTTTTGGTAAAACTATAGCGATTATTTTTTTTTGTTCGAACTGGTTTTGACTTTTTTTTATTTTGAAAAATGTTTCGATAATATTTTCTATTTTCTAGGTCATTCTATAGATATTTAGTAAAAGTAACTGAGAAGAATTCTCTACAAGATAGTACTTTTCTCCAGTTAAATAAACCCTGTTATATGAATTTTGGGAAAATTTGGGGAAATTATTTTCCTATTTTTTTTTCGCTTGGTTAAAGAAAAATAACAAAAATTGTTTCAAATTCGTAATTGGACAACGGAAATTCTTCTTTAGTTTGTAATTTTTTCACTCTTTCAACTAACTTATTTTTTGAAATTTTTGAAAAATGTTTTCCGTTGTTTCTCGGTTGTTTCAAAAAATAGACAATAATGACTTCATTTTCGCAATCCACGAAAAGTTTGCTGTAATTTTGTCTTTCTTTCCAATTGGATTTGGATTGCTTTTGGAAAATATTAGAACATTTTTCTGTAAAATCTCTGAAGCTTGGAAATCTCTTTTTTCGTGGAATATTAGTCTTGAATTTAAGAGTCACTTAAAAAAAAATGCAGTTTTGGTGAAACATAAAAAAGAAGCAAATTATTTTTGAACTTTGTTTTCCAAAAAATTGTTGTTAAAATATTTTTTATTTTCTTGTATTATTTTATTATTATTTTTAAAAATAGGTTGCAGTCATTTTACTGGACTATTAATTGAGATGCACTTAAAACGTTCTAATTTAAAAATATAATTCACTAGAAAAATTCCCTCGTCATTGTGACTGAAATTTCTCCGAACCTCTATTCCGAGCCTATTAATAACAAAGTTGACCCCGACACCATCAAATCAGCAACACCCATGCGTTGTCGCACATCAGCTTCGGGAGCTCATTCAAGGAAATTCCCACAATTTAATCCTAACAACACTCTAATCACTCCGATTTTTTACAATTTTATTACCACTGACTCACACAATTCTTAAAACCTACCAACCCAAAGTCAACAGTTCCCCTAATCCGTTTTTAATACCTCCCAATTTTATTTTTCCGCATGACCGCTCGCGCTCGCACTGCTGTCACGGCAGCGTCCAAACAATTGATTTTAATTGCAATTACAAAACCTACTGTAGCAGAAAATAGCAATACAGTAAAAAATCACTCCGATCACCCCGCACAGCCGCGGCCCGCGCTTCCACCCCTGCGGAACGCCGCACTTCTAACATTCCTCCTAATTACGTTAACACTCCAAACACAACACGTGTTTGTACAGTACGTAACAGCCAAGGTTGTTTCCAATTAGACACATCGTGAATCAAATCGTACGATAGTATCAAGAATGACACCCATCTGGTCGCAGATTGCGAACATGATCTCTTCCGAGTCGAAAGATTTGCCTCTGGAATGCCACGCGATAAGGGGATTAGTTGTGTGAATCGTTCTGTCGTTATCATGTTATCTTTACTATCAGTGATAACGGGTTACAATTATTTTCACTTTTGTTTGAGGTTAACTGGATGTCGCAGCGGTCGGTGAAGCTTGTGATGGTGTGTGGATTGAAGTTAAAATAGTTCCAAAGAAAGAGGTGAGAGTGCATTTTAATTAGTCATAATCGTGTGTCGTCGGGTGTCAAAGTCCAAGGTTGCGTGCTATTGTGCATGTTTACGCCCTTACCCAGTAACCTGCTTAGATAAGAAATCCGTGTTGTTGATCAATTTCTTGTGTTTATCACAACCTTGTAAACACGGTGTGTTAATTAGGTAAAAATGGGCCAGCAAGAGTCCAAACATAAACTTGACCAGGTGACACAGTCGTTGAATAGAATCCGAAAAGACGTCCGAGTTGGAAAAATCACAGCCAACGATGTCGAAAGAATCCAGCTACTTTTGCAGAAATACTCCAGAGATATAGAAGGTAGCAGGAACGTCCGCGCTAGCAGCGTGTACACGGTAGAGCAACTAATCGAAATCACCTCCAAAGAACTAGATGCTCTGAAACAAGAAGTCAATCTAGATCTAGCTGCCGTCCCCACCAACTCGTTCAGTCGCGCGTCGTCGAAAAAATACTGTGAGTACTCACGCATAAACTAACCAAACCTCACCCATCACTTCCAGCCAAAGACAAACGCAAGTCAGTCAGGTCCATCACCGATGCCGTCCAAGACATCAGACGCCAGATCCGGAACGGCAAAATTCAACCCGAGGAGTACGAGCGCTTGCAACAAGACCTCGTCAACTACTCGCAACTCCTCGCCCAAAAATCCAAAAAGAGCGACAACGACGCCGCCCAAAAACTCATTTCGTCAGTCACCCAGGAACTCCTAACCAAGTTTGAGGAGGACTCAAAGTCAGAAGCGGGCTCCCTTCGTCGACCCAACTCCTCCCTAAAACGCGCGTCTCTCTCCGAAAAACGACAATCCCTAACCGAGAAACGCACCTCCTGGAAAGAAGAACCGAAGAAAGAAGCGCCGAAAATAACCACCAAAGACAGCAAGAGCACCCTCGACGATATAGAAAAGAAACTCGAGACGTTGAAGACCGAAGTCAAGGTAGCTCAAACGAACAGAGACAAAAGTCGCCTGCACTTTTTGTCAAAGTCGATTCAAACCCTAATGACCGACCTCCAAATGGTCAACGTCAACAACCAGATACTCAACGAAGAACGCAAAGAACTCTTGGAGAAGAATTTGCAGAAGGCGTTCCAACAAATCGACAAAATCAAGAGGCAGTTGACGGAAGAAAGCGACCTCAAGTATCTCGCGGAGCTCCACCAGAAGGAAATGCGGGAGAAGTGTGTCCAGGACTTGGACGAAATCCACAAGGGGTTGTTGACGATCGGGAAAAACCTGAACCAGAAGAACTTCAACACGGAGAAGGAAACCTTCAACGGGTACAAGAACAAACTGAACTCGATTGAAGAAATGGATCAAGAAATAGGGTTGAAGAAGGCGGAGGTGTCTGACGTTTTGTTGAACGTGGAGAACGCTTTCACGCGGGTGGAAATGGAAGAACGGTTGAACCAAGCCGAGTGGAGGCACTTTCAGTACAAAATCGACCTGAAACAGTTCACTGAGACCATGCAAAGCGACACCTACAAGAAACATCGACAATACCTAACCCAACTCAGGGAATACGTCGGTAAGGTTTTGGAAATCAACACCAAAATCGACGAGAAGAAAAAATACGTTTTGTACAACATTGACAATAATATAGTGGCTTTGGATCAGAAAGCCAAAGACAATGAAGAGAAACCGAAGCAAGTGGTTTTGCGAAAGACAAACCCAAGTGATTTGGTGGCGGCTGCGAATGGTCTTCCAGACACTTATTCTTCAGACGAACTAAAAGACGTGGTTCCTCTTTTGACACAAGTCAAAGCGATCATTGACCACAAATTGACTCTATGTCAAACCAAAACCACCACTGACAAATTAGTACCCCAAAATCCAAGTCAAGTCAAGAGGGACGATCCAGACATTCTTTTAGTCACAGTCAAGGAAACAAGTCTTCAACCTGTATTCAATTCAGTGCCTCCAGTGCACACCCAAATCGACAACATCCAAAAAGAAGTGGAAACCCTCCAAGTCCTCATCGAAAACTCAAGGTACACCAAGGAGACCCAGCTTTACAAAGACCTGAAAAACAAACTCGAGAGCTACCGAAGCGAAGTTGACGCTCTATCCCGTGACGACGATGGGGCTAAATCGGGCGAAAACCTCGTCAAATACATCGACAACGTCTTGCTCCTTCTAGACAACAACATGTCAAGCCGCAAAAGTACTACAGAAGATATTCTAATAGATATCATGTCTGTGAGTACTCGAGTCAACGATTTGGGGAACAAAATCCAAAACTTTAGTCGCACGATCCAGGACTACGACACAATCAAGAACAGTCTTGTCGACAATAAAAACTACTTGAAAAATCTTCAAATAACGTCGAATCGTGGCAACCTTGCCAAGTCCAGAGATGATATAGTCCAACAAATCGACCGCTATTTGGCGAATTTGGAAGATATGAAGAAGAACGACAACGCTTCGGGTTCCGAGGAAGAAAAAATCTTCAACAAAGACTTGCGAAAGTTGAAGGAAAAAGTTTCGCGGTATAGTGGTACCTACAAGAACGTGTTGTACAAGACGATTGAGAACGACTTGGACAAGTATTTCAACAAAGCGGATAAGGTATTCAAGGACGGTCACGTAGCTTTCAAGGTTAAGCAAGACATAGAGAACACCAAGATGATTTTGGAGCAAAAATCAACCAAAGACCAACAGTACGACAAAGTCAAACGCGACGTCAGACAATCCGGGAGTAAGGAACTAACGGAAATTAGACAAAACGTGGAAAGTGTCAAAGAAACACTCAGTCAGAACGAACCAATAAGCAAAGAAGAACTAGATAAGCTTGACGCGAGATTGACGTTGTCGATTTTGGCACTAGACAACATCAGAGATGACCATTCTAGTGAAGCCAAAGACCGACTATACAACGACATACATTTATATTTTCAGAAAATCCAAGAACAGAAGTTATTGACTAGAGCCAGCCCCCACGTTGTCGAAAAAGCGCAGCCAAAACACCACGACGACTCCCAAACCATGGCGATGACAATAGCCAAAATCGCCCACGAACTAGAAGAAATCAAGCCCGAAATTTTGAGTTTCGTGGGGACTGAAACCAGTCCGAATTTTCTCCATATTGACGAAATCCTGGTCAGAGGAACTCTGAAACTGGACGAAATGAACGTCGACCAGACCCACGAGTTGTACAACCAGAAGGCTAAACTGATGCGAGATATACACAAGTACAGCGACATTCTCGACGACAGGATCATGAAGACGGAGGAAATCGAGAAACTGGAGAAGGAAGTGAAGATCATGTTGATCAAAATCGATTCTTTCAATGGGTATTTTGGCGACTCCGAGTATACGTATCTGGACGAAGAAATAATTAAATTGAAAGTGAGTTTGGGTAAGCTTCAAGTCAACAATGAGTTGGTTTTGAGGAAAGAAGCTTGCATTAGAGAAGTCGATAGTTGTATGAGGAAATTGAACGAAGCAGCTAAAAGCCGCAATAATGTTTTGACAGGAACCTTAGTCTAGATACTATTGTCTATTTATTAGAGTAAAATGTGTTCATAATGTACGTGCCATTAATAATAAAATTTATTCAACCAGGCTGCTTTTATCGCCGATCTTATTCAAATGGATATGAAATTAGAAGTGTTTAACAATATTAACGACGCGGTTGCGAACTTTGGCCATTATTCTCCGGGGGAATTCGCAGGAGACATGATGGGACTTTCGATATGGTAATGGTCGTAGTAAAACTTCATAATCAATGTTGAAGGGAGAATTTAAGTTAGAAAAAGTCACACGAGGGACTGTCATAAAATAAAAAGAATTTTTTTACAGGGGTTGAATAAAGTCGGTTAATAAATTAATTAAAACGTGCTTACGCAAAAAAATGAAACGTGGTGGTTCCAGGAACTGCGGTAATTTATTGACTGGACGGTGTACCAGCGAAGCGTGGAATTGGAGAAAATGAAAAATCATAGCTTTTGAAAGCTTCTATTGTGCGCTGAAACCCACTGGACGTATTTGAAATCGTAAACCAATATTTACTATTGATTATGCGTGGTATGTTGCAATGAAGAGGATTTATTAAGGACACTTTGTGTAATTAAGAGTTAAGAGCGTTTGTGTGTCAGCGGTTAAAAGAGTAGTGGACGCTGATGCTGGGTGTGCTGCTCGACCACATAACTGTCCGTGATTATATTTTCATTAAAGAACAAAAAAAAGCTCTTTGATTAAAATTTACTCATTTTTCTTGTTCGCAAGTTGTATAATACTGACAGAGGTTGCTGAGTAGTTGGGAACACTGATCACAAGAAGCGGCAAAAAATTAGGTTTTGTAGTACGGACCAGAAAAGAGGTAAGTGGTACAATCTCCAACAATGTTCAATTAAACCTGACTAACATGAGGTACAACAGAATTCCGTTAATTGCGGCAAGGTGTTGTAAAACTGTACCAATTACGCCATCTGATATATTTTGGTTTCTCTTTTACAAAATTTTGCCAAAATTAAAAGATTTGTATTATAATTTTTATTGTGGTAAAATTTTGTTGTTGTTTTACCTTAAGAACAAAAAACTGAAAACAAGTTTAAAATGGTAAATTTTATCCCCAACACTTCTCTACAAATTTACCCTTAACCCCGCCCACCCGCCCCTTTTTCAATTGTGACAACTCTTTTTATTCGTCGTAAGTCCAGGGGCGGAGCTTAATTGCAAAATCCTTGTTTCTCTGCAAGAAACTACCATGTGAACCATGTTTTAACGATCATGTTATTGAAAGAAAACTATAAATTAAAAAAAAAAAGTCAAAAATTAAGCCCCGCCCACCCACTTTAATCGCAAATGTAAAATAGATGTTTTCGAAAACAAAAAATTACCATTTTAACCGTTTTAAACATCTTGGTGAAAAGATCACTACATATGTCTAGAAAAAAGGTAAAATTTAAATCCCGCCTTCCCACCGCCATCTCAGTTGCAATATGAGCCCGGGGGCGGAGTTTAATTGCAAGGTCCTTATATCTCTGCAACGATTTTGTAATTAAGCTCCGCCCACCTTGGCCCACGATGAATAAAGAAAAATCGTTACAAATAAGATAGGGTGGGGGGCGGGGTTTGTATTTTGCATTTTTTTCTTAATATACATAGTCTTCCCTTCACAAGAAATGGTAAATTTTATCCCCCGCAGTTTTCTACAGGTTTACTCTTTTAAACATAAATGAGAAAATTCGAAAAATCGAAAAGTCAGGGATGCTAACAATTAAAAAATTGAAAATTCGAAAAATTAAAAAATCGAAAATTTGAAACGTCGGAAAATTGAGAAATCGAGAAATAAAAAATTTGGAAAATCGAGAAATTGAAGAATACTTCAAAACTCCAAAAACTGAAATCGAAAAATCGTTTTGTTTGTAGCTCTTTTTTTATCGCATTTTTTGTAGTCATTTTTGTCGTATTTTGCCTGCCTTTTTTGTCACTTTTATTGGCTTTTATCATCTTTTTTGTCGCGTTTTTAACCCCTTTTTTTATCGTCATTTTGCTTTTAGTCGCTCTTTTTTCTGGATCTCTTTACCGTTTTTTTATTACGTTTTTTAATCCCCGTTTTTTTACTGACTTTCTGTTTTATTTTTTTTTTGGACTTTTTTTGACGTTTTTTAACGTCTTTTTTGTAGTTTCTTTTTTAGTCCCATTTTTTGAGTGTTTCTGTCATCCTTTTTTGAAGGGCTTATTTTTTGTCATATTTTGTCATCTTTTCTTGTGTTGCTTTTTTTGTCACCTTTTTTAAATTCTTTTTTTTTTGCCCATTTTTGTGTTTTTTGGCCTTTTTTAATAATCCTTTTTTGTCACTTTTTTTCATACCCATTGTTGCGTTTTCGATGGTGTTTTTCGTGAACTTTTATCGCCGTTTTTGTATAGTTTTTTCGTCCCTTTTTTTGTGTTTTTTTTGCCTTTTCATTTCTTTCGCCTTTTTTTATCGCGTTTTGTTTTTACCCTCTTTGTCATCCTTTTCTGTCATTTTTTTAAAGCTTTTTTTGTGGTTATTTTTTGTAGCATTTTTTGTCTGCCTTTTCTTTTCGATGCCCGTTTTTGTCGTTTTTATTGTTTTTTATAGTGTTTATCGCGTTTTTAACCCCTTTTTATCGTCTTTTTACTTTTAGTCGCTTTTTAGTTTTTTTTCTGTGTACTTTTTTATCCACTTCTTATTTTGTCATTGTTTTTGTTTTCTTTATTGTGCCTCGTTTTACTTGCTTTTTGTGTACTTTCTTTTGCAGCTTGTCTTTTTTGTGTTTTCCCCTTTTGTTTGGTTGCTTTTTTATGTCCCATCTTTTTACGTCCTAAAACGATTTTTTTCGTCTTTTTTCGTCATATTTTTTAACGCTTTGTTTCACTTTTTTTTAAGGATTTTTGTTTGCATTTTTTTGAGTCGATTTTTTTGGTCGTACTTTTGTGGACTTTTTTGCCCTTTTTTTTTCTCACGTTTTTCAGCCCTTTTTTTTGTCGTCATTCTTTTGACGTTTTTTCATTTTTCTCGTTTTTTATAACGTTTCTGTTTCCTTTTTTTGGACTCCTTTGTTGTTTTTTTTCGTCTTTTTTCATCGTTTCTTTCTTAGACCCATTTTTTTTTAGGCTTCTTGTTCAACTTTTGGCACTCCTTTTTTGTCGTCTTTTTGTTTTTAGTCATTTTTTTTATTTTTTGTTTTTTATGCACTTTTTTTAACGCGTTTTATTTTTTCATTTGTTTTGTTGTTTCTACGTTTTTTTTTATATTTTTTTTTCGCATTTCCCTGTTTTGTTTCTTTCTTTTGTGTCGCGTTTTGTTTCGCTTTTTTTTATTACATTTTTTTTTACTTTTTTTATTGGATTTTAACCCTTTTGTTGTTTTTAATCGTTTTTATGACTTTTATCATCGTTTCTTGTGCATCTTCTTTTCATCACTTTTTTTGCTGGATTTTAATTTTATTGTTATATCGTTTGTTTTTATCGTATTTTTTACATTTCCACTACCCTTTTTGTTGATTTTTTATCGCTTTATTTTTAGCGATTTTTTTTAACTTTGTGATCGTCTTTTTTTCATTCTTTGTTTTTAAGTCTTTTTATGTGGATATTTTAAATAACTTTGTATTGCTTTGTTGTCTCCTTTTTTTTTAATCGAGGGGCGCGGGAGGCTCTATCTATATAACTTTAAACCAATTTTTATTTTACTCTGTATACAATGTCTCAGAAAAAAATGACGAATAAAACGATGTATTTTCTATATTAAATCAAAAACAACTTTACTGATCATCACAAAATTAAATTTTATAATTTAAAATACTGAGCTTACTTGATTGCTTCAGAAGTGAGTAAAAGTGTGAAAAGAAAACTATGCACACATACTAAAAGAATGGATAATACAAACCCCGCCTTTCTCACTTGTGACAACTGTTTTTATTCGTCGTGAGCCGAGAGGAGGAGCTTAATTACAAAATCCTTGTTTTTCCACAAGAAACTACCATGTTAACGATGTTTTTAAGTATCATCTTGTTGAAAAATCTATATAATTCAAGAAAAAAGAAGTCAAAAATTAAGCCCCACCCACCCACCCTATTCTCAAATGTGATGAATTTTTCATTCGTTGTAAGAGCGAGGGCGGAGCTTAATTGTAAAATAGATGTTTCCCCAAACAAAAATTTACCATTGTAAACGTTTTAAATGTCTTGGCGTGAAAATATCATCACATATCTGGAAAAAAGGCAAAATGTAGCCTCGCCTTCCCTCCGTCATCTCAGTTGTAATGATGTTAATCTTTATGAGCCTGGGGGCGGAGTTTAATTCCAAGATCCTTATATTTTTCTACAAGAACTTATCGTCTAAAACATGTTTTCAAGTATCGTGTTGAATAAACCTGTATATATTTGGAAAACAAAGCAAATAGTAGGCTCCACCCACCCACCCTTATCTCAGTTGTGATTAATTTTTCACCAAAACATGTTTTGAGTGTTATCGCATTGTTCAAAAAAGATCATTTTGAGAAAAAGGAGATTGTGTAACCCTCTCTCCCCTAATAGGTATGTCAACAATAACAAAAGATATTTCACTTGGTAATTTTTTGCCGAAAAACAAATGTTTTGCAATTAAGCTCCGCCCACATTGGCTCAGGATGGACAAAGAAAAATCGTAAGAAATGAGATAGGGTGGGTGGGCGGGGTTTGTATTTTTCATTTTTTTCTTAATATACATAATCTTCCCTTTACAATAAAAATCTGAAAACATGTTTAAATTGGTACATTTTATCCCCCACACTTCTCTACAAATTTACCCTTTTAAACATGTTTTCAATTTATTATTGTGAAAAGAAAACTATGTACACATATTAAAAAAACAAACTATAATGCAAAGCCCGCCCACCCACCCCTTTCTCAAACGTGGCAACTGTTTTTATTCGTCGTGAGCCCAGAGTTTCTCGACAAGAAACTACCATGTGAACCATGTTTGTAAGTATCATGTTGTTGAAAGAAAACTAGATATTTCAAGAAAAAAGAAGGTGGGCGGGGCTTAATTTTTATTAAGCCCCGCCCACCCACACCAATCTCAAATGTGACGAATTTTTCATTCGTTCGTCAGAC